CCCACCCACCCAACCAACGAACCAAGCCACCCACCCACAAACCAACCATTAACCATTTTTTCATTCAGACAAAGGCACGAGTCCTCATTTGAAGGGCCGAAAGAAAATGCTTTCAGTAGATGAAACTTCACGTGTTGTTATGTCATGCAATGCTAAAGGAGATCCCTTGCCAAATATCACGTGGTACAAAGGCTCTAATCTTATTAATTGCTTAAGTAATGGCAAACCTTGCGGTCCTCTTCTTCAATACACGTTGAAAAACAGAATCAAGACAAAAAACACCTCCAAAATCGTTCGCTCCCAGTTGAAGATATCTCGTACAAACAGAGTGCGTGACCAAGGAAACTACATTTGTGTGGCTTCAAACAAGCATGGCGTGGCTCATCGTTCTTATCAGCTGACAGTTAATTAACTTCAACCAGGAAACATTTCCTTCTTGTATAGAAGTCAGTTTCAAACAGTGACACCTTTTCATTTCTGTCAACTATTCATTTTTTATTTTAAATAGTTTGGCAAAACAAACAAACAAACCGAGATCAATTTAGTGAAACACTTACAAAGCGCAGTTCACAAACTTTTCACAAAAACCAGAAACTAATTTGTCTTGACATCAACTCTACTTAAGACCGACTTATGTGTTATTGTTCATTCTTTTATACGATTCTGTAATGATGTTTTCTTTATTATTTTTTATGGTGTTCGGTTGGTGATTGTGATGCTGCTGATGTTGTTGTTGTAATGATCGTGATACCATTTTTACTCTTGCAATTTATGGTGATGATGATGATGGCCGTGGTGATGATGGTGTTGCTGATGTTCGGGTTGTGATGATAATGGTTGATGATGATGATGATGATGATGAATATTGATAATAATAATAATAAATACTTTATTAACGTGTCTAGTTTACAGGAAACAGTAAACTAATTGGGGACACCTATCAAACCTAACTAACATATATAAACAAAATCAATAATTACAATTAAAATAAATTCTAGAACTAAAGAATACTTATTGATGTCAAATCCCTCCCCCCCTCCTAGAAACTAAAAAACTCTCCACTCCCCTCCCCCCACCTCCACAACAGATGATGGAGTTGATGATAATGATGCTGCTAATGTAAGTGAKGATTTCACTAATGTCTTCTAAAAGTTTGTTCGTAAACATTAGCGCGGTTTAATAAATCGAGGAACATCTATTATTGCTATATATTCTTTTATATACTCCAATACTTATGATTTCAGAGGTAAATAATATCCCGAGGATTATCACCAGAGGCATGGCAAGATGCATGATCGTTTGAACATCTCTCTGCTTTGTCACGTCCTTAAAACTTCACCTTATACCTCCACACTTCATGTCAATCAACTAAACAGAGCTGGTTATGTGTCGATGTATTTCCGACTAAGAATATTTACATTTGACAAAGGAAATTGTCAACATGCTTCAAAATCCAAGACCACTGCAAAGGAGTAGCTCCATCACTGTCTTTAAAATCTTAGCAACTTATTTTCACTCCGCCTTTGGATTTTTAGAGACTCATATTAAACTGTTCCAACGAGGGATCCCATCCCCAAGGGTCTTGTTTTTAGATAAAATTTAACGTCGTCAAAATTTGGAGCAGTACTTTATTGAAATAAAGTTTATTTATGCAACGTAGCAGAAACGATGTTTTTATCGAGAAAGAAGTGTCCCTGGAAAAGGTCCAATACAACATGAAGAAAAATAAACATATTAAAAACGTTTCAACTCGTTATTATCTTTATGYAAGAAAATTTTCATGAAACGTCAGGTATACTTCAAATGTTCTTCAAGGATGGATAAAAAATAAATTTTTAAAACCTGCTACACCATCACGACCCTGTACCGCCTAACATGTCCGTTTCTCAAGTGCTTTCTAAAATAAACAGAAAATAGAATCAGAATCATGCTTTACTCGGCCTGCGCCGACGTGAAATTTCTCTTGTATGGACGTGTTGTTTGGAAATAAATCAAGAATGCATCGAGAAAAAGCTTGAGTTGTTTCTTTTCACCGCAGGGTGCGGACAAGGGCCAATGACATATAGCTAGCAGAGGAGGATCTAGTCCCTTGTACTAACTATGAATGAACCTATCTTCCGATTGTCCTTTTTCTCATTCAGTAAACACCGCCTTAAAGTCTTTGTAGTTTGCACACCGACGAGCAATATACGGTGTGGCAAGTTGATCTACGTTGAAAAGTCAGCTATTTAAAGCGTTGCTCTTGAACATCATTTTATCGACTTTCCTACCAAGATCAGCTACTGTATCTGACTAGCGACTACTACCAAGGTAAGAGTTTTATTAAATGTCACAAAGAATCGAAGAAAAGTAACAGATATTACCTACGGAGTTTTTCGTGTTGGCTTAGCCAAGGGAATAAAGTTTGGGTTGTTTGGATTACAAAGGTTCTATTCAGCGGCTTTCAAGAATTCATATATACGTTCAAAAATGAATAGAACTTTCGAATCCAAACTACCCAAAACTTTATTCCCATTCAAAGTTTTATCCTATTCGCAATAAAATGAAGACACTCAGGCAAAACTAAACGAAACGACTGTAAAACGTTCATGGAATCGTCCTAGAAAAATGCGACTAACGACCACTGAGATTTTTGTCAAGAAAAAAAAAGACTGTCGGTGAAATTCTATCACCGACGGAAACTGACCCGTGTCGCTTTTAACAAGGTTTAGTTTATATCCTACAATGGAAGGAAGGAATAAGAGAGTATGGTGCAACTGAAATTTGAACCATCTGTTAAGCATAGAACTGAGCTACCATCAGAAGAACGTCGTTCTTCAAGAATGATCGAGGCATTTCTTAAGCAGTTTATGCATGTATCATGACTCTTCAGTCATTACTATAATGCAGGAAATGTATCTTCAGTTTTTGTGGTTCTGACATTCATTCATTCTAGAAGCGACAAATAGCCAGCCATCCTACGCAATATTTACAACGGCACTTTTAACGACAGTGTAGTTACTTCCCGTTAGTTAGTTCGACCAACCGAAAAACGGCGCCTAAATGTGGTCGTCGTGAGTGCGTGCTCTTGAGACCAAAAGGATTGTTTGAATTTTTATTTCTTTCTAATATTGATTCACTTCCGGTTAAATGCTCATGTTAGACAGGAAGTAAAGTAATGACTCGACTATATCTCTTACAAGGTCAAGGTTAGGCATGTTTTTCATAACAGTACGATTGCACGAGGCCACTTAAACCTATTGAACAGCAAAACGGTCTAATCTCCTTCCCTTTTACTACCCTTCAGGCCAAACTCCCATATCGTGTGATTTCAGTCGTGACACATTGCTCGGCACGCCATAATACTTGGCGTTATAGGAATTGTAATGGGATTTGCTCTCACTCTTGGACTAATTTCCCTAGCCCTTTTTTCTTCTTATTCTTATTCTTTCGACCAAATGTGAGGATTTGAGGCAATGGGTTAACGTGGAAGACATCCTGTCCATGCTGGAAGCCTAGCATGATCTAATCCCATCGATTAATACAAGTTACAGTTCTAATAGTTGCATGCCGATCTTGCATGCCAGTAAGCCTGTAAATCAGGGAAAGTGTTTTTATATAGACTAGACCTGCACACTATATTCTAGACAACAATAATAGTAGTTTATAATTAGCGGTTTCTCCGTTTCTCGGCTGATCCGGTTAAGGCGCGACACATCAATCTATACGGCAAATCCGGCCACCATGAAACCACCGCCGGGGTTGCTTTGTTATGACGTCATACTGATGCAGCCTTTGTGTGGCATGGTTGTAAAGAACACATAGTACAACGCGGTGACTGCCCAAGGTTCCTTATTATTTGCCCATAACAAATGTACGTGGTAAGCGGATCAGTTGCCGGTTTTTCTATCTAGTTGATTCAGCGATAAGGTGGTTACAAGTTAAAGGATACTGAAAGTTCTTTATTACCCTTTGTGTGGCATGACTGAGAAGAGAGCAATTGTATTGAATGTTTCATTATTTGTAACCAAGGCTGGTTTGTTTCCGCTCATTGTAAAGGTTGCAACGCGGATACAGAGGCCTAAATTTATCTAGTTGAACCCATACAGTGGTTTATTTGCAGCCGGCATATACGGCCTTTGTGCAGCTGCAAAGTGCGCATGGAATGATGTTTGGTCACGAGTCAAAGTCTTAATTTCTCTGGTAACATAAGGACTCAATACAGTGTAAGTTTGTCAGTGCTATCGCAACTAAGGAACTTTTTGTTTTTTTAAAATCAAGCTGATCGAACCTTTACTGAACAAAACACAGCAGGAGGAGTGTGAGCATAATCTCAATACCGCATGCACATGTTAGTGCAGCGAGCCTTGCCCTATCTGCATGAAAATAATTTCAAACCGCAGCTCATCACAGTTGTTCCATTCCATTGTCTGTTGAATTGTTGACTGCATCAGTTGCAGCTGTCTTATCTTGGGATCACTGATCTCGATATGCGAAGCTCTTATCAGATTCCGAGTAACCTGATGCAATGGTTCAAAATATTTAGACATGACACAGGAGTCGCTATAGTAACCCATTTAGTTATCGTCCATGTTTTCAAAAATTTAATATCACAAGCTTGACCAGTTTCTTTCCCCACCCACATGTCGGAGGCATTCCTGTTAGAGTAGTAAGAGGCGTTGTTGAACCCTATTAACCTTGATGGAATCATAACAAGTTCACTTACAAGGTGTTTAGATTGATTACAATCTTGTATCCTTGCTAATAGTTGAAAATCCTTGCTAAGTGCATTTAGTCTTATTTCATATCTTTCCTCCCGTATTTGCTACTGAGAAAGATTTTTCAAAAGACCTAGGATTGCAATATTTGAAACTAAATTTCTAAAATATATATATAAGTGCCTAACATTGTTGCAGCTCGAGTCGTATTGGTAAGCAATTTCTGATTTGAATCATCTGCAGTTTTTTCCAAGGTACGTTAAAAGGGCCATATCAATATTACCTCCGTCCCATATAATGAAATTGAAACCACTTTGGGACCCTGTTTGGGACCGGTCATCGATCATTCAAGGTTGAAGGATGATGACTGGCTGGCTCAGTATTGTAGTATTCAGTTTCTCAAGAGAGAATGATCTAGAAAGCAATCATTAGGTTCCACAAGGCAAAAGGTGACCCAGAGGTATCTTGAGTAACAAAACTGAAAGGTGAAAATGAGAAGATAGGTGTGGTGGGGCTTGGCCCATACGAAACCGGCACCTAAAGAAGTAATTAAAAAAAGTCAAAAGATGATCCAGAAGATATCCTGAGTAACAAAACTGAAAGGTGAAGATGAGAAGATAGGTGTGGTGGGGCATTGCCAAGACGAAAAATTATTATTAGAAGTAGAACAAGGGTACTATGTAAAATGTTTCAGTATTTGACAAATTGGAGGTATTTCTGGGAATTTCCCTTTGAAGAAGAAGAAGAAGAAGAAGAAGAAGAAGAAGAAGAAGAAGAAGAAGAAGAANGAAGAAGAAGAAGAAGAAGAAGAAGAAGAAGAAGAAGAAGAAGAAGAAGAAGAACTGAATGATCATGATGATGATAAAGGCGTGGTCCTAATATTGCTCAATTCAAACTCAACTACAGATTAGCTTTTTTTAAATCATTATTGAACTTTGGATTACAGGCAGTTGGTTGTTTACTTGTTAATATATATCATGTAATGATAAAAAGGTAAATTATACACCGTGAAAAGATGAAAAAACTTACTGACGTTTCGGACGCTAGTCCTTCCTCTTTTACTCCGACGAAGGACTAGCGTCCAAAACGTTAATAAGTTTTTCATCTTTTCACGGTGTACAATTTACCCTTTTATCATTACTGTTTCATTAGAACCACCGCAGCTCACACTAGTTTTTAGCTAGTTATCTCTTAATCATTATATATCATGGTTTTCGCAGATTCGCCTAATTGGTCTATTCACCTGAGTTACGTAGTTAAACTAACTGGTACTTCATTTTACTCGGACGACAGGTCATTCCATGTTTTGGCAAAAGTTTCTTACCAAACTGGTTTAATGATATGGCAAGGCATTGGCGTAAATAGTTTACCGTTTCTCTAGTAATGCGACCCGCATTGGATAATTCGCATTTGTAAAATATTTTTTACGAGTTGAAATATTTTGCCTGACTGTTGCGCCCGGTAACATAATTCCTGCACACATCTTGCTTCTTTGACACATGGTTATACCCATCGTCACTCCATACATATTTTCTGGCTTTTTTGTAATAGGGAAAAAGCACCATTTGTGGTAATAAGGGTCAGAAAAAATCCTAAAGCAATCGGAAACAGGAAAGGAAGTCGATGGATGTACAAGCAGAAAATAATTTCATATCTTTTCCTTTTATTTGATTATAATATAGAGTATCATCCTTAAGTTTTGTCAAGGAAATGGTCTGGCATAAAAACATTTCCAGAGCAAGTTCCCTTCTTAAAATCTACATATTAATTCACAAAATTAATTAGTATATAAGTGTTTATGATTTACCCGAACATTCCGGTACACAAAGGGTCGGATTAAGAATTTGTAAAACTTTAATAGAGTCTTTAGCGGTGACTATGTTGGTAAGCACGGAGTCCCGGATATTGCAGCATCACTTACATCAGAGCATCATAGAGGRAAAAAAATTTTATTTATAATTATATACTACAAAAAGGGAACATCTTTCTTATTTTTGCAATCGAAACTAAAGGGTTAGAGTAGATGAACTGGGAAATTCCTTTAGGGATTCGTTATATATCATGATCTACGTATGACGGCACGTTCGGGGGCGTTCAGGGGTGTGGTTAATGAGGTGATGAAACTTACGTTGAACTCACGTGGTCCAAGCTCTTTTGTCTCCCGGAAACCCGTGTATCATAAATACATAGCTTGCACACTCGTTGTCAGAACCACGAAATACGATCTGCTACAGGGAACGTTAAGTACAGCAGGACACAAAGTGGAATCTTGAGTAAAACGTAGCACTATTTGCAAGAGTGAACTTTGTGGAAACATTTAGGGTGAAGAGCTGGAGTTATATTGCCATAAAGCACGCATAAATAACTGAGGTAAGTGTGGTTTGTTTTGGCTGAAAGAAAGCTACAGCACAGAGCAAGCTTGGCATTACTTTTAGAACTCTCGAGTCTCTAAAACAAGCTTTTCACGTAACTGAACTTCCTAACGCACTTTTAAAGTCCTGTGATGGTCGTAAGCGAGGACAATAACGTCAAGGAAAACTCTTGGGCGTTTTAATTACCAAGTACTAGAATATTCGAATTTATTAGCTAAAGGATAGATACATGGAGAATTCTGTGTATGGTCTTTACGAATTTGTACAGAGCGTTTCTGGGGATTAGAAGGTCAGCCTTCGACACATTCCAACGTGGTATGATAAATACCATACCCGTAGAATGAAATCGCTGGAATGTGGTGTTAAGTTCCAGATGGTGTCATGTTTCTTCATCGTCATGATGCATAAATGACATCACTTTTTATATTCCATGAATAAGTAGTTAAAAATTCGCTTTCTGTTTCTCTTGGTGTTTTTTTAGGCTAAGAAAACTAAATTGTGTTCAAATTAATTCTAATGCTATTTTTTTTAGTTTTCAATGAAAACATTTGCCGCGTAAAGGAGTTCAATTAGTATTGACATTATGATATGTAAACAAATGAAGAACGAGTGAAACGTGCGAAATCAACGGAATCGCTTTCAGTCAACAATAATATGAGTAAGATCTAAAAGTCAAAAATATATATTGTTGTATCAGTTTTCGCTTTTTTACAGTTCAAAATTGTTATGGAAGATTCCCAACTTTCCCGCCATATTCTTTCACTTAACAACTCGTGACTTCCACTTCATTGTGCCTTTGTTATAATCCTCTTGGGACTAGCCACTTCATTGCGTAATATTCTAAATATAGCTATGGCGGTTGAATTTAAAAAAAACATAGCGTTATTTACGAAGAGTATAATACAGACCCTCCATCGTTCATCGCGTCATTTGGCTTTGCAAGCAAGTCCGACGCTTTATTGCTCTTAGTCTGCTAAATATATACTAAAAAGTAAGGTTGACCTTCTTCAAGTCAATTTGAAGATAGTGAAATTATTTTGACAGGCTTTCTGATCTACTAGTAATCTTTTTTTGATATTTTTGTATGTTTTCTTCGCAGCTCACTTGAAGCATAAGGAAAAAAAAACAAGCCAGCAGTTGATCGATCGATTATTCCAAGCAGAAAGACATGTTAAAGTTGTGTGTCTTTCTTTTTTTCTTAGGTAAGTAGTCGTTGTTAGCGTTTGCGTCCTTTTCTTTGTGTATTTCCCTTATAAATACGCTTATCATTTAACACCTATAGTTTTGCTTGTAAATAATGAAAAAATTATCTTTTTGAATGGAATTTAGCCAAAGTCCTTCAGTTAAAACCTGGATTTACAAGATTCAGTAAGATAAAATCCATCATTTGCTATGGAAGCAATAATTTCAACCGCTTTTTCTGCTTCACAGAACATTCACATCATGATGTAAATAAATATGCGTGATTTAAAATCAACGGCTTTTTTTCTTCATGGTCGATTAGTTTTCGTGAATCGTTGATAACAACCTCTACTGTTATGGGGAGGGGAAATGGGCGTGGTTGATGGAGGGGGGGGGGGGTAAGCTCCAGGATGTATCCCTAGAAGGGTTGCACTCCCTAAGGTAGTGGAAAGCTACGTAAAGTTGAAATAAGACTTCAAGCCACTGTTGTCACATCTACCTCAACTATATTTGATATTGTATAGCTAAAAGAGGTAGGAGAGTAGCCTAAACTGGACCATCCTTCTCATCAGTTACTTGCCATTTATCCTCATTATGCTTCCTTATTTGACCAAGTTTATAATTTACTTTAGGGGCAGCTACTGGTGTTCCACCATCACCAAAGTTTGAATTTTTGGATCCTAAGAAAATGACCATGGAAACTGTTCGATTAGGCTCTAGCATCATCATTGACTGTGAGACCACAGATGCCTCTGCAATGGTAACACTATGGAAGCTTAAGTCAAGTAAAGAATTTCAGGTCAAGCCGAGCCTTGATGTGATACAGAGTGGTCAAATCTTTACTAAGCATAATATTGATCTGCAAGATGCTGGACAATACAAATGCAAAGCCCAGGATTCAATGGGTACAAAAATCACTAAAGATGTGACTATCATCATCAATACTTGTAAGTTAATTTACTAGTCACCCAGTGGTTTTACCAAGTAATAGTAATGAACTTCTGGGCTGATCTAATTTGGGGCATGGCTAACTCACAGATCGAATTCTGAAACAACTTCTGTGCTGATCTAATTGGGGGCACGGCTTAGATTGAACCCTGAAACAAACCCTGGGGTGATCAAAGTCAGGGCATGGCTAACTCACAAATTGAACCCCGAAACAACCTCGGTGCTGATCTAAATCTGGAATTTAGCATGTTAGGTCTTTTGGAGGGAGGGAAAGCAGAGAACTTGGAGTAAAACCCCCAAACCAAAGAAGACCTAACAAACTACACTCACATTCAATGCAGAGTCAAAGAATCCAAGACTCTAGAGGTGAGAGGTTTTAGGCAAGTGCACTAATACTACGCCATCCTTGATTTCCATTAAAACACTGATATAAATAATAAATATTACCTTGCAGACAAACCTGGTCTTGTTCTGCGGCCAACCAATCCAGTGGTCACTTTGACTGGATCAACGGTTTCATTCACTTGTGAAGCAGTAATTGGGACAATCTCTTGGAGATTTGTTTCCAGTGGCCTACGAACCTACCCCCCACCATCCAAGTACACTATAAAAAACATTGTAAATGCTTCAATTAGCCTGAGTGTTCTTACTATTCCAAATGCTCAAGTCTCTAACTCTGGGATATATGAATGCTGGCTTTATCACTTTGATGCATCCTTTTTCCGCAATGTTGATCTTCTAGTTAAGGGTGAGTTTGATGTCTTTTAACTTTTCTTATCCTGATGTAACAAAAATGCATTTCTGTAGTCCAGACAACCCCATAAAATCTAGCCTGCGTAGCCAGGCGTTCCTTCCAAGCCCCCCCAAAACCCACAAGGAACGCCTGGCTACACAGGCTACATAAAATCAAGATCGAGGTCTACATAAATCAAGATCAAGGTCTTTTAGAAAACAAAAGCATTGCAGAGTATGTAAACTTTATGGCATTTGCTGCAGATAGATAGAGTGAAGTCACAAAACCCGTGAAATATATATTAGACTAATACACATTAGAGTGCAAACAATATAACTGTGAAAGTTTAGTAATACTAAATAGCACAATTTCATGCAAATTCCATTTTTTTCTATTGTTTAATTAGCACTATTTTTTACTAGAAGATATTATAGGTAAGTTGTAGTGCTTGGGAACGAGGTTATTCCGGGCGGAAGCCCTTGGAATTAAATTCAGAAAAATTAATTTCCCAGCGAGGTTGGAAATTAATTTTTCCGAATTTAATTCCAAGGGCTTCCACCCGGAATAACCTCGTTCCCAAGCACTACAACTTACCTATATTATCTTCTACTATTTCATTAGTGCCACGCGGTCCACATACTCTCACTATTTTTTACTATTTAGTAATTAGTGTTTCACGGATTAGAGTGACCACAGTAAATCCGTGAAACTTTAGTAATACTAAATATCACAATTTCATGCAAATTCCATTGTTTTCTATTGTTTAACTAGCACTATTTTGTACTATTTAGTAATTAGTGTTTCACGGATTTACTGTGGCCACTCTAATTGTTTGCACTCTAGTAGACCCTAATTCCATAGTTCATAGTTCCAACTCAGACAATAGCAAACCAATCATCATTGCAGCAGTTTTCACAATGGAAGTAAAATCTTGTCCCACAATCAACTACACAGTATCTGTTTTAAAGAGTACTACAAGGATAACGAGGCAATTTTCTATTCTTTCCGCAGGACAGCAAACTATTGAAACAATTTATAATCAATCTTCCGCTATCAGAGCTCTAAATTCTGAGACATTCTAGATAATTTGTTAAGATTGTTTTTTATTTATTTCAAGGGGTAAATGCCTTCACTCTATGTCGACAAATTATTTTCTTTATTATTTATGGCTTGTAATTGAATCATACCTTTATATATTTCACAGATTCTCAAAGACCTGCCTTTACTAATGGTAATTCCCAGACTGAAATAATGACTGTTAAACTTGGACATTCAAAGCACTTGAACTGTGAAGTTACTGGCTTTCCAACACCTGTTGTCTCTTGGGAAAAGAATGGTAGACCAATCTCTCCATGTAATAGGATGTTTATAAACTTCTGCCAAGACTCTCCTTATTTATCTCAGCCTCGTGGCATAAAGATTGACGCTGCTCGTTTTCCAGAGGATAATGGAACTTACACTTGTGTGGCAAACAACAGTGTTGGAGCCTCGAGAAAGGATTTTCAAGTTGTTGTTGAAGGTAAAATGATGTCAAATTCATGAAATAAGCTGGTATTATGCTATAAGCTATGTTGCACACACTTCTAACACATGTTAACTTGATTTTACTGTTGCTGGTAATGATGTGTGCAAATCTTGGAAGTTCACACTTGGCATAGTTTTATCTTTTGTGCAATATTATTGTCGTAATATCTATTATTGATCATCTACGCATTAAATACTGTATGGTATCTTGGTAAGACCCTGATCAAAGTTTATGTCATCTTGTAAAATAGGCTGTCTTCATTGCAATAACTATTGATGATTTTTCTCTTTTTTTAACCAGTCAAACCAGTACTGGACAAAAGTTCAAGCTTATTAATGGGAAGCTCAAAAGTAACATGCCATGCGATTAAAGGCAATCCTCCTCCAAAGTTCAGCTGGTCCATGCAGTTGTATTGGTTTCCAACAACAAAATCACCTTATAAAAATGGATGGAAACCCATATCAAAATATGGTAACACTGCGACAGTTTCAAGTGATGGAATGACTAGCACAATCCAGGTACCCAGTTTGATTACACGGGCATTCTACAGGTGTGTAGCAGTCAATGATGTTGGACGTGACTCCCATACAATCAAAATGATGAGAGTGTTCTAAGCCAGGTTGTATAAACACGTACCTATGCACTCATTATTTCTAAATTCGTATTTATGTCTGGATCCCTTTTCATGCCAAAGGTGGCTAGAATACACCTTAGTTGTTGTGATGTGCTGTTTTTCTTCTTTAAAGACCATGTGTCATTCTCTAGAGTATCATTTCCTTGTTTAATGGTTGTGCATGAGAAGATGATTATTGATAAAACTCAAATAAAGAATCATTCTCTAGGAATTGATACATGGACTGTAACAGGAAAGCTTTGCACCACAATGAATTCATCATGCTCTGATGGATCCTACTGTAAGCAAGGCGAGTTTTATGTTTCTCATGCTTCCTTATTAAGCAAAAAAACAGCATCATTCGATAAATGCTCATCATATTAGCATAAATTAACTGGAAATAAATAATAGTAAGTGTGGCATGTCATATTTCCAACTTAAATGCATGTACACATTCATGCACATACAAAATACAAATGATTTTTTTAAAATATTACTTTCTTATGATTTACTCGACTTATTCGACTTATAGTCATAGTTAAAGTGCCTATCACCCTTCTGACAATGTTCTCAGTATTGATTCTACGTGGGGTAAGATGTTGAATAACCCGAAAAAATTACATAGTTTGAGTGCGGCTTCTTGAAGTTATGAAGGTTTTTCCATGTCATATGCTAATGCTGTGACGTATGAGGAGGCATTTATGGTTATTTGTTGTTCCTTGTAATTTGAAACACCAGCTTTTATGGGAAAACCAACTTGCAATCATTTCTATAAGAGCAATGGGGAAAACAATGACCTATTTCAAATTTAGTTTATCTGTGACAGTAGTGTTTTGTATATTAAATGATTACTCCTCATACGTCACAGCATTAGCATATGGCATGGAAAAACCTTCATAACTTCAAGAAGCCACACTCAAATTATGTAATTTTTTTAGTGTTATTCAACATCTTACCCCATGTAGAATTAATACTGTGAATATTGTCAGAAGGGTGATAGGCACTTTAAAGGCTGTGGTTAAGGCATGTAACAGTCAAGAAAGTGAATGTGTAGTTTCAGAAAATATCCATACTTCCACTTGGAGGAAATTTGTAAAAGTACCCCCCTACTTCCTGGAACTTGCAATTATCTTCCATTCGAATTCTGTAATTTTGGTTCTTTCTCTGACCCCCCCATCCTCTCCAGAATTTCCAATTTCCTCAATGGGTGGGGTACGGATATTTTCTGGAACTACACAATCGGAATCATTTCATTTTCATTTTTACTCCTTACTGATAATAATAAAGAATGTGACCCTAAAAGCTGTGTTTTTATGGTGTTAACTGACACCCTGCAGTAACTACTGACACCCATATTAGGTTCACATTCTTACTGTAGTTACTTCCATATTATTAAAGCAAACAGGGCCAGGTTGTACAAAGAGTGGATGCTATCCAACTAATACAGTCTCAACAGTCTTATCCAGTTGATAAATTTATTGGATGACAGCATCGACTTATGTGCTGTATAAGTATTTATCCATCAGATAGCACTATTCACCCATCGTACAACCAGACCCAGATGTTTTCCACCCATGAACACAATGTTTCAGTTTGCAAATAGAGTGCTATTCAATAATTAGCATACTGTACAGCATGCAATAATCTCCCTTGAATAGTAAACAAAGCTGTATGGCATTTAGACAAAGTCTGGCAAGCAAGGCTGCGTAGTTAAGACTATCATTTCTGGTATTAAATTTTGAACGATAGGTACCTTATTGTTGCTGTGGGTGGGTTTTAGGTACTGTCTTGCTCTAGTTTTAGGTAGGACAGAGAAACTGGAGCAAGATAGCATCTGGCACCTAAGAGGAACATAAGTGGCCAGCAAGTACATGTAGAGCTAAACACTTTAAGCGTGCAACTTYGATTGTACTGAATAGTGCTAAATTATGCTAATTCTATTGTTTAATTCGTGCTACTTAGTGTTAAATAGTCCAAAGTAGAGTGAAGGCACTAAACCTGTGAACTTTTTTTTTGTGACTATTACATTGTTGACTAACATGTTTTTATTTCACTGGTTTAATGCATTCACTCCATTTACACACTTAGTGTTCATACATTAACATGACTGGCCATGTACTATGTACTATACGTTGTTCACAGTAATATTACTCTGTTACGATAACCCATTATTCAGAATATTAGGTTCATGAGCCCTGGATTTGCAAGGATGGCAGCTCATCCATGGTATACATATAAATCATCATAATAAAAGTTCTCCCAGATTGGGGGATGTCTTAGTATAAGGTAAATTACCTTCTGTTATTATAATGTAAGCTAGTTTCATATTCCTGATCATTAGTTTATTGTAGTTTTATTGATAAAATTGAAGTATTAATAGTGTAATTTTGTTATATAATAAGATTTTAGATTTTCCAGATTGTTCTGTTAAATAAAGATTATTTCAATGGTATATAGTTAAAAGTGGTGGTCATTTAAACAGAAAATAGAAATCGTAGATGTTATTCTTTGAGATGGGTATGTAGCTGATCTGAGAGAAAATGTTAGCCAATCAGAATCAGTGACATTTTGAAAAGCTGAGGTGTCACTTTTTCTCTTGAAATTATGGATTTCCAGGCCAACAAATGAAAAAACTGTTGCTAATAAGAGGTTGATGACAGTAACAAGAGATAACTAGCTAAAAAGTGTGAGCTGCATCGGTGTTTTTAATGAAACAGCAATGATAAAAAGGTAAATTATACACCGTATAATCTTTTAACTTTTCCATCAAACTATTTTTTGAAGGTTTTTAAAAAGTTTCAACTTTGTAAAATACTGACATGAAATACAATATCAAAATAATAGACATCTTCGTTTCCTACCTCTTAATGAAGACATTCAAATAAGGGATATTGGCATTTCATTAAAGTTAATCACCTGAAAAGCTACAAACCCTTAGTTTCTGGATAGAACTATTATTGGTAGCCTCCTAGTATGCAATGTATCAATCCCCATTACTGGATGACCCAAGTGTAAACAACAGAGCTTAAAATAACAGCCAATCAATCACCAATCATGAACACAGGTTTAATGGCTGATTTCTGGTCATTATTTTAAGCCCTGAAATGCTATATCTATGGCTAGAGTACTAGATTTAGCATTAAATGGCATTAATGGAACCATAGACATTGAACTGTTTCGTACTATTATTTATTAATATCTATTATTATTTAGTGCAAAATAAACCTTGTACTATTTCAAAGATTACGAGTGTGAGCACTCCAAGGAAGGATACATAAGAAGCTAGATTTTTGTACAGAGAAGGCAAACGGGAAACTTCAAGAAAGTATTAACCACTCAACAAATATCTTTTTATTAAATTCTTCATTCAGTCTAATATCCATGAAACCTTTGAAAGATCACATTGTTACAAAGAAAATCATAAAGTCACATAAAGACTTAACAATACTATTTCAAATTTTTTTAAAAGTGTTTGACCAGTAAATATAAAATAATTAAACTTATAAGATATTAAACTATCTAGTGCTGTCAGTTATACCTATAGGCTTTATTCTTTAATTGCATGTTAGGTCATTGCGGCCTCTCGGGAGAGTGTTGGTGCCATTTAACAAAAGATTTGTCATTAGCATGCATTGTCAACGGCACCGCAATGGCTGCCATGCTTTTGTCTTTTCACTCTCTTGGGAATGCTTGCAACCCATCAATACCCTGAGCATTCTTGTTTTACTTCTTGTCAGTCAACTGTACCAGTTACTTCCCACTCCCTGGCCATTTAAGATAGGTGACCTTTGGCATCCAAGTTAAGGTATTTTATAAGGCATACAAGGAATGTAGTGTTTTTAACTAAGTGCAAATATTCTAAAGTTTTTGGCAGTTTCTACACATAGATATAATAATAAACACTCGTGATTGTGGCTGCAATGATGGCTGCATGCCTTCATCAGAAATGTTAGCAAATGTTGATACCTACAAGTAGCTATTACTATCTATATATATATTATGAGTGCATGATTCTGTTGACAAACTCCAGGGATTTTCACCATTTCTTGTAGTTTACGAATAACATGCAGTCCTATTGTACAAGCATTAAAGATGTAGAATCGTAGAATAGAGATAAAAGAGAGTTAGATATGGTACTTAAATCTAATACTCTCATAATAAAAGACTGATATGATTTCAATTATATAATGCTATAATTAACGTACAAATATTCTGCCTACTTTATAGACATATAACAAACATACTACAATTTTTATGCTGTTACCTGCTTTTCTGCTTGCTTTAACACAGAACTTTCACGGCTCTATCTCTGAACTGAAACTACAGTAAGAATAGCACATGTATAATTGTAGCTTCAGTATTTGAACATTTCCAACAAACACATTACAAGAAGTGTTGGTCAAAGACTGTACTACGTATCTGTTGTACTTGCTACTGTGCCTAACTGTAGTAATAGCTGATGACAATCCTGTAGGGTGCGTTTGTCTCCCATACGCTCAAGAGAGCTGGCTGCTTCTACAAGCATTCCTTTACGCTGGCCTGGAGCAGAGAGAAAGGGTTCTGGAAGATGGCGACATGCCATCATTAAAGCAGCAGCACGTTCATGCTCACTTGTTACATACTCTCGTTCACCTGAAATATAAGAAAAAATGGATGAAAGCGTTGTCTTAAGTTGATTATAATTAGCGCAGGAAATTTCTACTATAAGCAAAGCTTTCCACTTAGAAACTCCTATTTACTTACCAGAACTCTTTAAACTTGATGCACCCTTGAATCCTGGAACACCATTGAAGGCAAACCGTTGCCTTAGTGAGCTGCGCTCTAATAACTGATGAGTCTGGGTGGGGTTAGCACCAGCCATCATTCGTGACACCGCTTGATACAAATAAAGCTGTAAAGATAATAAATGCAAAAATAAATAGTCAATTTTTTGAACACTAGAGTCTGCCCCCTGAGCATTCATGAAGTGGTATATAAATTATAGATTTAGATTTGGCATAGATTTATATATAGATTACAACAGATTTTAGAGGGGCACTTGGATGAAAGTAGATGAAAATTGGAAATGACTTGAAATTTGGCTAAACTTATGGCCCCAATAGTAGCCAAGCAACATATTTTCTTCACTGCAAAAAGTGGCAGATAAAAAATATTAATTTTATTCAGCATCTAAATTGTGAGTAAATGTCGTCATTTACTCAACCCTATTGTTCTTTTTGCTTTTAAACCTAAATTTCTCCAACTGCAAGTGGCTCCCAGGCTAAAATTTTCACTATTCTAGTTTTCATAGTCATAATTAAGTCATATTATCTTTGAATACATCAGTTACTCTGACTTTCAAAARTTGGGGCATTTTCATCCAAGTGTCCCTTTAAGAATCTTACCCTTGGTAGAGCAGCAGGCACATCATGGGTAAGTTTCTGAAGACTCTCCAAGTCATACTGGAATGACGAGAGTATGTCAGGATCCACAGGCCTGGCAGGCTTGTCAGGGCTAGTGCTTCTTTCCCAAATATCTGTCTCTGTGGCTAACAGCCAATCACAACAAAGAAGCTGGGCAAGCTGACGCAGTTTGCTGGCACTTTGGTATGATGACAAGCTGATACTCTCTCTTAGGTGAAGGCCTGATTTCTCTGTTAGTTTATAGCATTCTTCTAGCTTCTCTCTTGTAACATTACTGTTGAAAGCTTCTTTTCTAGCTCTGAAGGCCTCCAGTATTGCTTTGGCTAATGGATCTCTGACAAGAATAATAGAAGAGTAGTTATTAGAGGGTTTGTATTTATATATATTCAATTACATTTTGATGGCCTCTAGAGTTGAACCAAATGCATTAGAAAAAATTATAATTGGTACTGATCATCTACAAACAATGCAGCCTGATAATGTTTGATTGCCCACAACGTATATACTGGTTTCAACAATTCCCAGAGCTGTTCAACTCAAATGATAAGACAGTGAAAGTAAAGTCTCATGAGAGTAAGATCCTATTGTTTTGACCTCTGGATTGGGCTGCATTGGGAATATCCTACCATGGGTCTATTCAAATAACTTACTCTGCATTCCAAACATTCTTCGGAACACTGCCAACTGTGCTGTACAATCTCTCAGCCGCCTCTTCTTCACCTCTTAACCAGTGTACTGCCACCATACCAACTGTAGCCCACCACTTGGCTGCATCATCTCTACTGTGAACAGGTCTCTTATCACTCCCCAAGACACATGAACCACCATCTCTAGGTTCTTCTGTTGCCTCGGCACAGACATTCAATATGTCAAGGTAGTGCAAAGCATCTACCCAGCTGTCTTTCACATTCTGGGTGTCATCTTTTTCAGATGGCTTGTCTTTGGGTAGGACAATAGCAGATAAAGCTTCAAGGAGTAGGCGTTCACGGAATGCCTGACTCACATGGGCCATTGGATCAGCTTTATTGACCGTTGTAAAAGAAATAATATTAGCAACAAAGTTAAATGGCGGGCACCAATTTGATGTCAGCTTTAGTTTGTACCCTGATTTTATTATAGAAATCTTTGGTTTTGCACCGTCACATGCCGGCGCCATAATCCAAATTGGACTGCCTGTGGTTAGATGGCAGAACAATACATTCCCTGTGCTCTCAGGAATTGAATTCTTTCTCATGTAAAACGATTGTATTGTTCCTGCCATCTAACATGGCTGCCGTCACGTGATGATGCAAAACTTCTGTTTGGGAAAATGTTCTTCTATTTCAGAATGACAGATGGTCAGGAAAACATTGTCAAGCACAAACTGTCTAATAGACACCTTGCAGAATGTGGGAAATGCAGCTCAATTTGGAGGACATAACAATAGGTTTCCAATTCTCATGAGATTGAAATTCTTTTGTTTTGTCCTCCAAATGGAGCTGCATTGATGTCTCATGCAAGGAATCTATTAAGTGCCAGCCAGCAAGGACTTGACGTCATAGCTCAGCCTACTAACTTTCAGAATATTGATGGTTATAATAAAGTGTAGAGACGTTTACTAATTTGACCTACCATTATTTGCTATGGTGGCCCATACGGTATCATTCCTCTGACATGACCACTTGGTGCTGACAAAAAATCTGTGTCCCTGCGGCTGAAACAGCCATCGTAATGGTCGTGGAATGGTAGCTCCTGCACAGGTATCTCTAGCACGAGCAAGGAAATAACGCTACAAAAGAGGATAATATTTATTGTTGTTATATAGCTATGAAATGTTCTGATATAACGAACGCTCTCAATGGTTAAAAGATGACCATGTGACACTAACTAAATCTAAATGTTTCCCAACCGGGATATAAGTAACTTATTTCCTGGTCGGGATGGCATGAAATTCTTTGTTTAAATATTAATTTCTAAACTTCACAAAATGAGCAAAGAAACAGAGAAAACGATAAATGATCAAGCATTTCTACATACTGCACCAAAGTTCAATCCATCAGGGAGAGCTGCTCTGATTTGGATGGCTGCTGTCACGTATATCTGGGCCTTTGTCTGCACACTCACAAATTCACCAGCAGTTTCAACAAGATTTATAGCTGATAGTCCAAGTACTGATGATCGCCAGTAGCCTCTGGGAACATGGCCTATTGAAAAGTACCAGCCAAATATAAGACAGATTACAGTATAATTATAAAATATATTAGACAAGTAGAAATTTGAAGATTACGATCTCTCATAATCATTCAAACCAACGTTCTGGTACGGTTAGTTTGTAAGAGCATCAAACAGTGTTACATGTACCAGGTCCTGGTTTCAGCTCCAGGCCAGCCAATGCTCAGGGTCTTAAAATAACTGAGAAGTTACTGCCTTTGTAATTACATCTGCAAATGGTTAGACCTTCAGTCAAGTCAGATAAGGACTTAAAACTGTAGGCCCCCCTGTCTTCACTATGACTGTGTGTAAGGTGGATGTAAAAGACCCACTGAAGATGTTAGCAATGACTAACTTCAGTGCATGTGCTTATGATTACTACAGTGCCCACAGTAATAGGCTACAGCTGTTGTGGTGTCCCTGCCCTCTGGGGAAAAGTTAATAAAATATTAAATTAAAAAGATTATGATCGTAAACCATCTAAATCCCTCTGACCTACCAGTAAGACTGAGTTGGTGCAGTTTATGGCAGACAAGTGCAGCATCACGGGCATTTATCTTGTCATACTCTTTGGTAATGTCTTCATTTGCCTTCCTAAACAACACCCCACACCCAGTAGAGGCCAGCCAGGTACCAATGCCAAGCCTATACAAAACATGCCGCAGAACATTCCACACAAAGCTGCAGAACACGTCAAGCTTGGAAGTGGGCATAGGACGACCAAGAACACGCAGACAGATCTCTAAATGTCTGGCAGCTGAAATATTGTCACCCTGAGGATCAAACACAAACTAACATTTGAATAATATTATTAAAGTGTTTTGGCAGCTTGTATAGTTATTATGTGAAATGTCAAGCAAATTTTTCTCAGGTTTAAATCCTGCCAAATATTTTTTCTGATAAATACTTGCATGATGGAACATAATCCACATACTTAATATACATTCATGAGTATTATGACTTAATGGGGCATACAATTGTGGCATAGAAAAATTATCCATTATCTTTTGAAAGATTTTAATTTGCTGTGTTACTAAAGGCCAAATCACCCTTCATTTGGGCAAAGAAAATTACATCTCTGTAATCACGAAAGGAAGGCTTTCATTTCTAAAAGGTTCTTAGAGGGATTTTTTGATCTAGACCTACCCTAGCCAAATCTATATCAGCTTGATTTTTGTGCCTCCAGTAAAGAACAGCTCTCTGTGAGTGTGGTCTGGTTACAGGTTCACCAAACACAAATATACGCACTAAGACACTTATTACGAGGAACATGTTGACAAGCCACTTGAGACAGAACACAATTGCCCAAGTTATGATCATGTATGGGTCAGATGAACTGTTAACAGCATTGAGAGTACGTCCCCCTGTATGAGCTGCTGCATAATCGGCACTGGATGACAGTAGAAAACCTGTAAAGGCACAACATGGGAATTAATGATTATTATCAATATCAAATGATTGTTTAGAGTGATAATGCTACATGGTGAAGTTTTTGTATGACTGTGAAAAGCTCAGTGCCGTAAGCGCGACGTGCAGTGACCGTGATACTTTCTAGAATTTTCATTGGCTGATTTCTTTCATGCTCAATATGATTGGTCTAAAAGTGCTGTGATCTTGGCTTGACCATGTCCGCGCCATGTTTCGGGTATTTGATTGGATGGAGAATAAATTCTCGCGCAATGTTATTTGTCTGGCGTGTCCCTTGCTATGTCACGACCGTGTTCGTGCCATGAACTTTTCACAGTCATACGAAAACTGTACTAATCACCACTGTTAATTACCTGATCCAAGTTGTGGCAGGAGAAAATTCAAAGGGCTGACAAGAAGGAAAGCAAACAAGAATGAACACAATGCAACACGGGTGCGATCAAGCATGCCACAGCTGCTAAAGGGAAGTTTTTCCAATTTGATGTTCTTGGAGTGAGTCTGATTTGTGACTGATGAGTCAGGAGAATGCTGAGGAGAGTTCAACACTGATGACTCGGCATGGAGCTGGTCGACAGTGATAGATTCTGGTTCCTGTGTTTCATTTTGCTTGTTGATTTTAGCTTCTTGTTGTTGTTCTTGTCTTTTCATCATTTCAGAGATGGTATCTGTTGGATGGAATTAAAAAGTTGGACCTTGTCAACTTCACTTGTTATTACATGCTCTAATAACAAGGTTTAGGTGTGGGTACAGTATGCTGTGTCTTATAGAAAAAAGGGTGTGACAGGGGAAAGGAACATAACTTTCATCCCAATAGACCTCTTCGGCTTGGGGTATTAATGTTATCCCATTTCAGACCACCTGTCATTCCCTTGAGAATAAGATTCTTTGTTTGAGCTGTATTCATATTCAAACCTTAAACAAAGAAATGATACTCTAGGGAATGACATGTGGTCTGAAATGGGAAAACATTAACGTCAGAGCCGAAGAGGTCTATTGAGACCTAGCCCCTAGATACTGTTATGAAAACAGTCGTTAATTGTCAAAACAAACTTACTTCTTTGTTGTTGTGCCATCTTTAGTGCCATGTTTTCCTCCTTCAAACGGGAATTTTCCTTCTGGAGGTACCTGATATAGTCCAGCGATTTCTTTAGTATCCCTGCTTTGTTCATCTATCGATTTTCAAAAGATAAGAATATCTTATTAGGTTCGATCCACTAACCAAAGAAAACAAAAACAATCACAACAAGTAAGCATAGCTTTATTTTACCTTTGTATCTACTCCACAAACAAGATCCTTCAGCTCATTTATTTTTCCATTAATACTATTTCGGTATCGCTTCTCAATTGCATTATGGTTTGAGCGGGACATTGGTTTTCCATTCATATCCTGTTTCCCAGTTGGGACCCTACTGATTGGGATTTTGTCTAGTAAAACAGGTATAGTGATGACTGGATTACCACTAGAATTGGTTTGAATCGAAGCCTGGACCATTGTGGAATTACTATTAACTAAATTTGATGGAATTTGAAACACCTGAAAATGAGAAAAACACAGTACACAACTTAGGGGAGAAAATGAAAAAACAAAATAATTCTAATGACTTGATTTCAATATTGCAATGTCCAATTTCAATGAGCATTTCCAATTATTTAGTAAACTATGCATAATTATAATGGATACATACTTGCTGGGAGGATTGTTGCTGAGACTGCACAGTTTGAGATGGTGATGATGGCCCTGTTATTACTTGTTGAGGGGAGCTAGGGTTAGAGGAGATGGTTGATGCTGAACCTGGTGAAGACCCCATTTGAGGTGAATATTGCTGATAATCACTTGTGCCTGGGCTCTGAATAGAAGGAGAGCTTACAGAGCTCTGAGAAGTGATGAGCATTGGAGTGGAGTTTGTAGTCGGATTTATAGGTATGGTATTTGGAGCAGTGACTTGTGGTGTAGATACAGCTGGTACTAACACTTGGTTGAGTAGCTGTTGCAGCTGGTTGGTCTCACTGGCAATGGTTTGACTCTGAAGTTGTTGCTGATGGAGAAGCTGTTGTTTCTGTTGCTGCTGCTGTTGGTATTTCAATAGCAGTTGCAGAAGCTGAACTTGGTTGTTGACCAAAGAAGCTGGCTGCAATAATAAAATCACCCTTTAAGACTTAAATTGTTTTTGTATATTTTTCATATAAATCTTTTTGACTTTTTTGGAAATGTATTTTTCTTACAAGATGGCTAAGCCAGGGGCCACGTTGGCTGGAAAAATAGTGTGGTAGGATGAGTTAACTTGGGTGTAACTTTGAGATTAACATGGCTATTGCATGAAAATAGTTCAGTAAAACTTTTGAACATAAGAAACATGCTAATTGTAAACCAAACAAGCAAGATACCTTGGGTACATTGTTTGCCATTTAACATTGACGTGTTACAACATCTTACCTGTTGGTCTTTTTGAGGGACTGTTGCATTTTGAACACTCGTAGGATTAGTATTTCTCGGCCTTTGTAGTATATCAACCAATGAAACGTCATTAGCAACTGAATTTGCTGGCTGCTGTAGAATACCTTTCTGTTGATTTTGTTGAGAAATCAAAGTCTGTAGCATCTCACTTGCACTGAGATTGCTGTGACTGACATTAGGTTCTGGTGTCTGTGCATTTGCCTGCATTGGTAGTACAGGTTTCTGCTCTACGAGTTCATCTGAAGAACTCAGAGAAAAGCCTGAAGCCAAACTGGTCTCAATATTAGGCATGGGCAAAAACTGATCAAGATCTTCTGACACAGACTCTTCATGAACACCTTCCATCATATCAGGTGGAGTATAAGGAGGGGTAAGGGTAGGTGGCTCTGTCTTGACTGTAGTATATGAACCATTGCCTTGAGGATTTTCATCATCAGGGTAGATGTAGGAAAAGATATCTGAAGTTGAAAATACAAGGCCTTATCAATAATGGGGAACCATTTTGAAAGAACACAAAATATGAAGCTGAGTTTTTATTATTTACGACTGCACATCTGATGTTCACCCCCTCATCCCCACTGACCAACATGCCTTACACATGTCAAGTCATGTGTTAGATCCAAAGGTCATGTTCCAAAGCTGATTTAAAAAAGATACTATGCACACATTTTTAAAGAAATCCAAATTAAACAACATTAAGGATTTGGGAGTATAAATTATAAGTATATTGTACAAACATGCTTTTTAATTAATGTACAATTGAACAAAGAAAGTGATGTAATAATGTAGTCAAGACTGAATGAAGAAACATGAAGAAACCTTTCATTGTTTACAAAACACCTAATTGCATCAATATTGAGCAGTACACTTTCAAATTCAATACGCAGAGTTTACATTCCACGAAAAAGCTAGCAAGCGTTGTCTTAAGGAAGCAACAGTCTTAACTTGGCTGCTTTTTTGTGGCATGATGAAAAATCTAAAGGTGAAACTGTCACTTCATGTTGTTCTTCATAAAGATTAGGCAATACTAATGTTCACCACGTACGATGTTGACAAAATTAGAAACTTATTATACATTAACYACAGCATAAGAGCTCAACATTATGTCTTTCTTGAATCAAACAATGAAAAAAGGCTTCTCATACAGAAAAAATCAACCCAATTGAGGTCAGTATCGGTTATTTTTGTCATTCGTTCAGCTATCACAACTAGAGGAATCAACGGCTTTTATTACGAAAATGCAATGTCATTTGGAAAGAATTTTCGACTTACCATCGAACCCATCCATGTTGTCGCAAATATTCCCATCCCTGTTTAAATTTGGTTCATAATCCGAGCTGGAATTGTTTAAAAACGAAGACCATTCTTCGCTTTTTTGGCCAGCCATCTTGGATGGCCTTCTCGTTGTCTTTCTCACATCACTCCAACCAACCAATAAGAAATCGTCTATCGATCGTATGACATTACGTCATCCGGTTATTTTCGGGGAATCCTCGACGACTTGTGCGCGTCAGTTCTTCCGCGTGTGAGAAGGCATCCTGAGGAGGAGGGTGTGAGGCGGAGGGTTGCAAAGGGTTTAAAAGAGAAAAAATATATATAACAGTAATGTGTCGGAAAAATCCAGAAGAACTATATGAATATAAAAAAAATTATATATTTTCATTTTTATCTTGCAGATAAACTCAACAATAATAATAAATAGCAATAACGACTTATAACTTTATTAATATTATTATTA